GAAGACCCAACAGAGTTATCCCAGAATTTGGGCAAGCGTGAGGTACCCTAACATTTTCTTCTAGTCTTAAGGAAGACACAGACAATGTCTTTCAAAGGTCATTTTTGTTTGTTTGTTTGTTTTTAGATCTTTTATTCTGGGACATGAATAAAAGTTAAAACTCAACACCAAATGTAGGCTTATGAATTAGTTTGCTTTAGGAATAAACACAGGCTGTAGAGATGGCTCAGCTGTTAAAGGCTAGGCTTACAACCGAAAGTACACGCATGAAGGGTATTGGGGCATCTGTTTCATGACAGATCCCATCTTAGAGCCTAATCAGTTCTATCATATTGGACAATCAGCTGAGACAGCGTCACCGGCCTCCTCAACCTCCAGCTCTGATTATGTCACCCTGTGACATCTCTTTCTTGCCTCCAGTTTGCCAATAACTTGTAGCCAGTTTTGAAGTACTGCAACGAAATACCTGAGGCAATTAACTTTAGAAAGAGCAAAGTTTTGTTTATTTATTTTGATTGAGGGGATTCATTGGTTTGGCATTTGCCAAGGTGGCATCATTTTGTGTGTGTGTGTGTGTGTGTGTGTGTGTGTGTGTGTTATGAATTATGTACGCGTGGGAAACCCCCAGCTGGCCGGGCCAGAGTATCCCACTCGTGCAGGGAACCATGCTGGCATGCAGGGCAAATGAAACAGCGGGCTGGCAGGCAACCCACCCCATGTGGGCATGGCGGTGGGGTGGCGGCGGGTGGACATTCACAACCCAGATGCTACATCCATGTGGAAATCGTTTATTACAATAGAGAGACAAAGAGAAGACAGGAAAGAGGGAGAGAAGAGAGAAAGAGGGGGGGTTGAGGGGTGCATACCTCATGGGAGTGAGGAAAGAGAAAGGAGGGGGTGGTGGTGGAGTTTTACTTAAGAAGTGGCTTCTATGTCATGACACAAGGCGGCCCGTCAGAATATTAACTGTGTAGGAACAAGCAGTCTTAAGTTAAACTTGACAGATAGAAGAGAGAAACAGAGACAGAATGGGGTGGGTGGGGCACATAAGAGTTCAAGAGAGAATGCTTACTATCCTTTAAGAACCTGCATCATGATCTTCCCCTGGGCCCTACCTACCCCTTAAAGGGCCGTGATGCATGCCAGTACCACGGCCCCGGGGATCAAGGCTTTGCCTATGGACCTTTGGAAGACACATTACATCCAAACTTTGGAAGACACATTACATCTGGCACTTCTGGCTATTAAGGCGGAGTTCAACAACTTTGCCTGTTGTGTGCTGTGATCTGTTGCTAGGTCCTGGAGGTGCCAAGGTGAGAAGTCCTGGGCCTCCCCTCACCTGGTAGAGTACAAAAGCTAGTGGACTTGGCAGTGTGTGTGCTAACAACTTTGAAAATGTGAACTAGGTGGTCATGGAGTATGTATGCTGTTTGAATGGTTGAAACTGAATCCAAAGTGTTAACAATTGTACTACCATAGCTAGAAGACTAGGAACATCAAAACCAGCTCTTCCTGTTTACCGGAGAACTGAGGCCCAGAGTTATAGGGCAGCTTTTCCAGGGCCTCACAGGCAGTGACAGGGCCCAAACTACAATTCCAGGACTCTAGGCTTGAACTTATCCCCTTGGGCTCCCCTGGGCCTGACAAGATCTCTCTGGCTTTCTGGTCTTTGATGACCACCTGCACCTCAGGCTTTGCTGTGTCCTAGGAGGGAGCAATTCTGACAGTCAAGATCTTGGGTGGGGTGGAAATGTCATTTGACAAAAAAGAAAGAATTCCTTCTCACATTTGCACTGTGAAGAAAAAACAAAACAAAACAAAACAAAAAAACAAAAAGAAAAACAATAAAACTGTACCACTGCCTCTGCTGTTATCCAGGAGGAGAAAAGCTCCCCAGGGAACCAAAAGGATTTTAGCATATTAAGAATGTAGAAGTCGGGCAAGGGGTGTTTTCCCCACTGATTATGGGGAAAGCCTTACTTTAGAGATAATACATGGGAAGGTGGAAGAAAGTTCTGAAGTAGCGGTGTGCTAGTGATGATGAGTTTTATCCAGGTTATAAAGAAAAGCATGGTCTCTGTGCAAGTTGCCCACTGTGCCTTAACCCAAGAGGGACCAGCGACTCAGGCTCTGCCTGCCCTGTTTGTCTTGGCAGTATCTGAACACAGTCATCCCTTACGAGAAGAAGTCCTCTCCTCCCTCCGTGGAAGACCTGCAGATGTTGACAAACAGTGAGTTCCCTCCTCCTGAGCCCCGGCCTAGGAGATCCTCCCTCTCTTGTTCTCAATTCCCAGGTTTCTCTAGGATGTCTTTGCACGGGGCAAAATTCTCTGCATATCCTATCCTCTTGAAAAAGGCAAAAATTAAAGGCTCTGTTGTGGCTCCCAGGTTTTGTTTTACGGGTGGGGAGGGACTCGAGGGGTGGGCAGAGTTTTCTGTTTTCCCTGCAGCTCATGGGGCTTTGTCTTCTTGACCTCAGCTGTCCACACCTGGGCCCCTTGGAGTAGCGCACTCTGTCTGCGGGGCCCCGCTGTGCTGTTAACGTGAAGCAAGGCTGTCTGGGTGGAGCGAGGGTGCTTGGGAAAGAATAGAGTCTAGTTTTCCTTCCAGGAAGCGACGGCCTCTTCTTCACGCAAGCTGCTTTGTTCTGTGTTGATAAATGTTCTGAGCTGTGAGGGAGAAGCAACATGTAATAAAGGCTTTCCGTAGGCAGAGTCCATCTACCTGTGTGTGTATGTGTGTACAACCTTTCCAAAGGGCCAGCGTCAGATAGCAGTATCCTCTTGACTCTCCGTAGGAGGAGAAAATCCCAGGCTGAGACTTGGTGACACGCTCAGTGGATCAGATAGAAATCCCATTTTTTCCCCAGGCAACCGAGCTTGCCGAATGAGAGCTCATAAGGGTGCTCAGTGCACTGTGGCTGCCCCGGAGGGGATGGGCCAGCGCGGGGCTATCGATAGGTCATGCTAGACGAGAGAGAGGGACTTTTGCTCAGCCTAGGAACACAACTGTCTCCCTACTGCAGCCCCATCCCCAAGTTAAGGGTGAAGAAATGCTTCCTTTTTATCCACCTCGAGAACAAAAGCAGGAGTGTGCAGCAAACACATCTTGTCAACATCCATAGACATCATGTCCTTGAGAATCAGGAATTGTAACTTCAAAGTACGTGTCTGCTCTGGTTAGACGTCTACATTTGCATCAATACGTGCTGAGGTTTATTTTTCAGTACTATGGATTGAAACTAGGGACTTGTGCGGGCTACCCCAGAGCTATGCCATCTGCTTTTTAACCTTTGGGCTAGGAGCTCACTAAGTTGCTCAGGCCGCCCTTGGACTCATGATGTGATGACCCAGGCAGGCTCCAAAATTGCTATCCTCTTGCTTCAGCCTCTGAGATTCCAGGTTTGTTCTTCCAGGCCCAGCTTTTTTATTTTATCTTATTTTTTTTTAATTTTATGTGTACAGATGTTTTGCCTACATGTGCATATGTACAGGACTTGTGTGCCTGGTGCCCATGAAGGCCAGAAGAGGGTTCTGGAGTTACAGATAGGACGAGCCATCATGTGTGTGCTGGGAACTGAATCTGGGTCCCTAGCAAGAGTTGCAAGTACTCTTTTTTTTCCAGTATTTTTAAAAAATTTTATGTGCATTGATGTTTTGCCTGCATGTATATCTATGTGAGGGTGTCAGATATTGGAGTTATAGACAGTTGTGAGCTGCCATGTGGGTGCTGGGAATTGAACCCGGGTCCTCTGGAAAAGCAATCAGTGCTCTTAAATCCTGAGCCATCTCTCCAGCCCTTAAAGTTAGCCCTGACTGTCCTGCAACAAACTCTGTAGACCAGGCCGGCCTCAAGCTCACAGAGATCCACCTGCCTCTGCCTCTCAAGTGCTGGGATTAAAGGTGTGTGTCACCACAGGCTGGCAGAGTTGTAAGTACTCTTAACCACTGAACCATCCCACCAGCTACCTCCCACCCACTGCCTTTTTTGTTTTGGGACCAAGTCTCTCTACTTAGCCCAGGCTGTCCTGGAGCTCTCAGAGATCCATCTGCCTCTGCCTCCTGAGTGCAGGCATTAAAGGTGTGCACACCATGCCTCACCTGCCTTTTTGTTTTTGAGACCTGTTTCTTTTTCCTTTCCCTTCTTCCCTCCCTCCCTCCCTCCCTCCCTCCCTCCCTTCCTTCCTTTCTTTCTTTTTGATATGTGCTCACTGTATAGCCCAGGCTATTTATGAACTCCATTGACCAAAAGAGCCTCTTGCATGTTGGGATTATAAATGCAGACCATAATCCCAGCAGAGGCAGGCAGATCTCTGTAAATTCGAAGCCAGCCTGGTCTACAGAGTGAGTTCCAGGACAGGCTCCAAAGCTAAACAGAGAAACCCTATCTCAAAAAAAAACAAAAAAAGAAAAAGAAAAAAAAAAAAAAAAGAGTGCAGATTGATCTGCCGATCTGCCCAGCCATAGCTTTTCTTACTTAAGTAATTTAAAAGATTAATTATTATTTCATGTGTATGAGTGTTTTTGCTCATACATGAGTCTACCACATATGTACAATGCATAAGAGTACTCCATGAAATTTGAGTTACAGGAGTTGTGAGTTGCCGTGTGGGTGCTGGGAAGCTAACCTAGGTCTGCTACAAGAACATCAAGTCTTCTCAACCTCTTTTTAGCCACACGGTATAGCTCAGTGGTAGAGCACTTGCCAAGCATTCACAAGGCTCGCATTCGGTGTTTGGGATCACACATGTGTGCTCACGCGCGCGCGCGCACACACACACACACACACACACACAGAGCCAACATTTACAGGTGCTGTGTTTTCACAGCAGTAAACATTTGAAAGACAGCTTGGACAAATTTCAAAGGTTGCTGTATGTCAAGTACTTAACCATGCTCTTGAAAAAGGGACAAGACAAAATAATAAGAATACTGTAGGAATATGGAAACTCGAACAAAGAAATTCAGTGTGCTCATCAGTTTTACGTAACTGTGACAAAATGCCTGAGGGAACCACTTAAAGGAGGGAAGGTTCATTTCACTCACTGCTTCAGAGGTCTCAGTCCATCTGGTTGGCTTATTGTTTCTGGGTCCATGGTGAGACAGAATGTCATGGAGGAACGGGTACAGTGACACAGAATTGCTCATCTCATGGCTGCTGGGGAAGCCAGAGAGCCCCATGGGCATGCCCTCAAGGACTCACACTCTGACTAGGTCTCGCTTCCTAAGTTTCCATCACCTGCCAGGAGCCCGTCAAACTTTGAACATTCCAGTCCATCGGTGAGTCCAGAGCCCTCATGATCCAGTCACGTCCCCAAAGCTCCGCCTCTGCACATCATTGAATTAGGAACCAAATCTCAATATGTGAACATTTGGGGGACATTTCAGATCAAACCATGACATTCATTTCCGCCATCATCATGGTTACTACTGTGGTATTTTAAAAGTTTTCCTGGTAGTTGCAGTTTCATGAGCTACAGAAGTTTTTATTTTATTTTATTTTATTTTTTGATGTGTGGGGGTGTTTTGCCCACCTGTATGGCTGTGCAGCACTTGCATGCATTAGATGGAGAGAGGAGCATCAAATCCATTGAAACTAGAGCTGCAGATGGCTGTGAGCCAACATGTGGGTACCGGGACTTGAACTCGAGTCCTCTGGAAAAGCAGTCTGTGCTCTTAACTGCTGAACCATCTCTCCACAAATTTGCATCTAAAAGTACACCACAGAGCCAGCAAGGTGGCTCAGCAGGTAAAGGTCCTTGCCACCAAGCCTGGGACCTGAGTTCCATTCCTGAGACCTCATGGTAGAAGGAGAGAACCAAGTTCTCCAGCAAGTTGCCCTCTGATTTCCACATGCATGCCCTGGTATACATACCCACCCACCACACACCACAGTGCGTGTAATTAAAGAGTTTTAGACACAGCAGAAAGCAAACAGAAGAAACCAGGACCCCCAGCATCTAATTCCGTTGAAATGAGTATATATCCAAAAACATAAGGAAAACAAACCCTAATAGGTTATGGGTCCACTCTTTTCCCCGGGCCACAGCTGCTGATTTGTATCATCATCCTATTGGGTCCTGTTCTTCACCGGGTTCTGACTCTGTTCCAAGTTTCATTACCCAGCCTCAGAACCAGGAGGACATGGACATGGATCTGGGATCCCTTGTCGTGGTGGCCTCCTGACTCAGGGCCCGCTGATCTTCATTGTTCACTCTGCTTATAAAAGTGAAATATGTTCACTGAGGAGAATTAGGCAGCATGGAAACAGTCCCAGAAGAAACATCCTCTGTGCTCTCACACTCAGAACTGCTTAACGGTTTCATGCATTGTTCTAGGTTTTTCTATGTTAGGGTATATTTGTTATAAAGCTAATACATGTTCTTCAGCCTTCTTTGTTGATGAGTCTGTTTCACAGATGTAGGTCTCTCATTTTCATAAGGTGGTGTAAGACTACACAGACTGGATACACTGTCATCTAGTTAAGGACCTTATTGGTGAAAAAGTCTACTGTTGGATGCTTTTGTTGAAGTAATAAATAAGGCTCAGATACTTTCTTACAGAATTTCCTTAAGTTGACTTCTATAATGTAAGTTGTGAACATGAGAACATATTAGTTAACAGAAAAGAGTTTATTTATTTGAGGATGGAACATGGGCCTTACATTTGCTATAGACCAGTGTCCTACCATTGAGTTACAGTCTCACCCCCTAGAAAGTGCAATTTTAAAGCTTTTATGAAAATATTCCTTAAAAACCTTCAGGCTTTAAAAGTGTTCCTATTGTTTGCTTCTTGTATAAGTCAAGTAGGTATTTCAGCAAGAGCTGTGAAGGCTCCCTGGGAGTCCACAGTTCTTCAGCTCTACATAGTCTAATAGTGTAATGGACCTTGTTGTGACCTGCATGGCTTTGGAGTTGACTTGAGTAATGAGGAGTGGAAAAAGGACAGACACAGAGACAGAAAAGCTGGGGTTGGGTGGGCCATGTACTCCAACGGAGATATAACAGCAGAAGCTGGAAACTCAGCACATTAATTTTATTCACTGAATCAAGAGGTGGGTTTATTGCACACAGCTGAACGGGTCAGCTGATATCTATAGGGACAGTTTCAGGTCGCAGTAGAGGGAAGGGGAAGGTATGAGTGACAGTTCCTGCACACACTGTTTTTAGCTAAGGGTCAGTGATTCATAGCATCCATATTTGGACCAGAGGAAGGCTTTGCCGTTTCGCTGTGTCTGAGGCATCAGCATTCTTGACCTGGCTGTATGAATGTCAACAATACACATTCACTCAGGACTTCATTTCCTCCCCACAGGACGTAACATAGAGTAAAGGTTTGTGGATAAACTTCATTTGTGGTCAATAAATTGGAGGTGAGAATTATTGCAATAACATTTTAAAAAAGATTTATTTATTTATTTATTATGTATATAGTGTTCTGTCTGCATGTATGCCTGCAGGCCAGAAGAGGGTGCCAGGTCTCATTGCAGATGGTTGTGAGCCACCATATATGGTTGCTGGGAATTGAACTCAGGACCTCTGGAAGAGCAGCCAGTGCTCTTAACTGCTGAGCCATCTCTCCAGCCCACAATAACAATTTTTTCTATGTGTAGAATATCTTTTTGTTTTGTTTTGTTTTGTTTTTTGAGACAGGGTTTCTTTGTGTAGCTTTGCGCCTTTCCTGGATCTCGCTTTGGAGAACAGGCTGGACTCGAACTCACAAAGATCTGCCTGGCTCTGCCTCCCGAGTGCTGGGATTAAAGGCATGCACCACCACCGCCTGGCGTGTAGAATATCTTTAAAGATAGTTTCATAACGGGGCGTGGTGGAGAGTGTCCTTCATTCTAGCACTCCAGAGGCTGAGAAAGGTGGATCTCTGTGAGTTTAAGGCTATCCTGGGCTACATGGTGAGTTCCAGACCAGCCAGGGTTACATAGTGAAACCCTTTGAAAAAGCAGAACAAACAATACCGTTTTATTAGTGTTTCACCAATTAATATATAACATTTAGATGGACTATGTCCAAAAACTGATTTATCATTTTGGACCATTGCTTCATTTATTTTTATTAAAGATACACACTTGGTAGATGGTATGGAAATTATAGATGAGCCAAAAAGGGACATTCGAAAGAAATCACTGGTAGGTCCACTCTGCAGAGACAACCCTGCGGTTCACTGTGAGTATTCTCTCTCACCCCAAGAATGCTGTCTCTTGAAAGCTTGTAGACGGCTGCATCTGCTTATACTCAATGAATACCAAATCATCATTTCTTTCTCGCTTAGGGCGGAAGTTGTCTGATACCCTGACAGTATCTTGGCCCATCTCTCCCTCTCTCTCCTTCCCTAGTTCTCTTCGCCATGAAGGAGGACAATGAGAAGGTGCCTACTTTGCTAACGGACTACATTTTAAAAGGTGAGAGCAGCCGCCCTCCTCCCCACCCAGGAGGGGTCCTCTGGGCTCCTGTGCTAGCTGCGGAGCTCATGCTGAAAACCCCATAGAGTGCCACCACGGCCGACCAGGCAGTGGTCACATAAACCACGTGGTCATCATGAGGGCTTCACGCTGATGGGTGTCACTAGCAGGCCTGGGGAGATTCTGTTACTTCAGGTCACCAGTGTGTGTCCTCATGAGGAACAGGACACCAACACAGGACTTAGTATGGAAATCCTGTGGCTTTTGTGCCATGTCATATGTAGTTGGGCAAAACAAAGCCTGAAAATAAGTTAATGCTTTCAGTATTGTCTTGAAAGGTGAATGGTGTCATGATTAAGTTTGTCTTTTCATTAGCTTTTATGGAGGGGAGTAAAGCTGGAGACCCAGGGGCTCACACGTGCTAGGCGAGCATCCTTCCATTGAGCCACAGCTGTGGCTTCTATCCTGTAACTTCTTTTTGAACATTTTACTATGGAAGTTTTCAGTGCAGCCAACAGTAAAGAGGATTAACTTACAGCTAATCTTTTTTTTTTTTTTTAATTTCTATTTATTTTTATGTGTATAGGTGTTTTCCCAGAATGTGTTTGTTCTCCTTGTGTGTGCCCAAAGAGGCCAGAAGAGGGCATCAGGTCCCCTGGGACAGGAGTTACAGATAGTTCTGAGTTCTGACTTTTGTGGGCTCTGGGAATTGAACCTGGGTCTTCAGGGAGAATAGCCAGTGCTCTTAACCCTTGAGCCATCTCTCCAGCCTACACCAGTCTTATTTATATTCCTATCCAGCAGTTTTGTTTTGAAGCAGATTTCTGTTAGTATTTTTTTCATTCATAAATATCTCAGTGTACATTTCTAAAACCTGAGAATTGGTCACATGGCCACAATACCATTATCGCAACTGAAGAGCTAGGGCCGGGGGTGGTGATCGGCCGTAGAGTGCCTGCCTGGCAAGTATGAGGCCCTGGGCTCCACTCCCAAAACAACAAAAAGGGAGAGGGAAGGCCACGATGACAAAATTCAGCTTTGTGTGTGTCACTGGTGACCCAGTCACTGCTCAGATCACCTTGGTCCCCATCAAGTGTTCCCAGTTCATTTGCTTGCATCAGGGACCTGAGGAAGGTCCATAAAATGTGATGATTTATCTCCTAAGTCTGTCTCTGTGTCTCTGCCACTCCCGCCCCTTCTTCCTGTCCTCCCAGCATCTCAGGTAGCCCAGGTTGGCCCCTAACACTCTCTGTAGCTGAGGACCTTGAAATACTCATCTTCCTGCCTCCACCTCCCAAGTGCTGGGATCACCACCACGCTCAGCCAATCTGTATCTTTAAAAACCAAAATCAAAACCAAACCAAACCAAAATAATAAAAAAAAAAGAACATATATAGCCTTCCCTTTCCTTCTTCTTAATTATTTAAATCAATAAATTATAGAATATCTTTAATCTATTCTCTGTCTCCTTTAATTATTGTAACTGGTGTAACGAGGGCTCGATGAGGTCCAGGCTCAGGACCTTTGCTGAACACCACTGACGGGTGGTTGCAGATCCCCGTGAGGAGCCCTACACTGTCTGGTTGTCTTCTTTTTGTGTGTTACTGGCCATTGATGACCACACAGTGTATGTCTGGACCCACCATCTTTGAGTTCTTGCTCCACATTCACACAAAACCTAGAGGAGTTGCAAAAGGCTTATGGAACCTAGTTGTGAAATCCCAAACGGTACCCTTTCTGTGAGGATCAGAGGGATTAATATTAAATTCCAATAGGAAGAACTCGTGACTCTCAAAGACTTTGCAAGGATAGAAGTTTTTCAAAGAAGTGTGTAGAGATGGGTTATATGAGGTTGGTGAGCTGAAAGATAGGCCGTGACCCACTGAAATGTCAGTGAATTTATAAAATAGTTAATATTTATGGAGCGTACTTTACAAGTCTCTCAGCAACCCTGTCAGCAGCTCAGGTACATCCTAATGTGTGGCTGAAGAATGAGCATGGCCAGGGGAGGCATTTCCTTAAAGCCCCAGAGTTCGATCTATGGGCCCTGGAGACTGCAGCGCTTGCTTATGGTAGCGGGTACCTGTCATTCTCTCCTGTTCCTGGAAAGGTGACTCAGGTCCTTGGGGGTGGCTCTCTGCTCAGCGTGATCCCTGCATGACCTCTCTCCTCTTCTCTCGTTTCAGTGCTCTGTCCAACCTAACCTCACCTTTGGAGCAGCCTCACTGCGGGAGGTCACTGAGCAAGAAAGTCATCCCATCACCGGGATTGCATGACACCACGTAACCTCCGGCGTGTATTTAAACGTGTATATCTTAACCTGGATTAAACATGAGCCACCGTGTGCGCGCGGGGTCCTTTGCTGTTGGCTTCTAGTGCTAGTAATCCTTGGATGCATGATCGGGCGCAGGGCCGACGACGCTGCTTCCTCTCCACCCATGTTGGGGAAGGCAGGTGCCCTCACCACTCATTATGTAGTCTGGCTCCAGCCCTCAACCCAGCTTATACTCTAAGACTAATTTTGAAATAAACCTTCATTTAATTAATATTCTTCATGCTTTTTTGGAGAGGTGGTATCCATTGGCTCTGTGTTCCAAACCCTCTAGGTCAATGATGTCTGGCTGCCCTCAACCGTTGGCCTGTGGCCATGGTGCTGATACCCCATGGTGGGTACTAGTAGGGTCGTGTGATGTGATGAGGTTGCCTACACCACAGGAGGAGGCCATCCATCGTCCCTTAAGTTTTCACTGCTTGGCTCTATTACATGGGGTAGAAACTAGCTGGTCTGAAGTGAGGTGGAGGCGGAGAATCCCAGGGATGAGCTGTAAGTGGTATGTCTGCAGTGCCACCCGTTGGGGTGCCAGGTTGGATTTTGGGGGCCTCGGAGCTCAGGAGCCGGAGGGAAGAAGCTCTGCTGACCTCAGCTACCTGGGAGGATGCGCTTTTTTCCTGCCCTGAGATTTGTCACCACTCCCTCGCTGCCCTTAGTGGCCTGTGGGAACGGAACGCATCCTGTGACTTTGCTCCTCCGTACTGCAGCCCTGAGGCCCAGCAGCACTCACTCCTCCATACAGCCTCTGGCTTTGATAGTAGGCATCTGTCAGCCTCGGTAACAGCAGGTGAATGCTGCCCTTGGATCCCGGATGCTGACTCTGTCCTAGCATAGCCTGAATTCCATTGCCTTTCGTCTTCTAGTTTGAATGATACTCGTACTGCCAGTTCCCATACTCCTGGCTTTCAAAACAAAACAAAACAAAAAACAAAAACAAAAACAAACAAACAAAAGAAGGTTTACGGGGTGGGCACTGCATGCCTGCTACCAGCCCTATCACTTTCTACAACTTGACTCACATGCCAGCAACTCAGAGTCATAAGCAGGTATGTATTTGTATCTTCTGGGTTATCCAGAGGAGAAAGCCTCGAAGCAGAGATGGTCAGCAACTCACCCAAGGCTACTAAGGAGATAGTAGTGAGGACGGACACTTAGGTCTCATCCAAGTAGATGTTCTCTGATGCTTAGGGGCATAGTGCTTGCTTAACCACGGGAGCCACTCCATAGAAAACCTGATAAGGGCGACAAGAGAAGACAGGGTGGGTTCTCTGCCACTCATTTCCCAGGCTTCTGCTTTCCTTGAAGCAGATAAGAGGCAATCTTTGTGGGTGGGTGGGAAGCAAAGGAGGAGGGCCGTACTCTACCAGGAAGCTGTCAGAGTACCTGTATGTCTTGTGTGTGTTCATAGTGCCAAGTTATACAGAGATCCACGCAGGGAACACTCGGGCTGGCTGCCACCTAAGGTGGAAGAGACCACAAAGTATACACCCAAACCATCAGAATCTATACGCTGACACCGATACTAAGCCTTTGACAAAGAAGGTGACTTCAATTCTGCAACTCATCAACCTTAAGGCTACAGATTCCAAAGGTCACTAGTCATGAGGTCATCATCACGAAGTTCAATATTTTGCCACTTGTAGGGTTTTTCATCAATGTCAGCAAAGGGGGAAATAATGAACACACACACACACACACACACACACACACACACACACGCACACGCACACGCACACGCACACGCACTCGCTTTTCCTCCTGTTTTTGGTTTATGAGATCTGGGTCAGCCACTTCTTTTTCCCCAATTTATCCTGCCAGCAGGTGTCTGAATCAGCCGGAGCCAAGCTAATCAAAGCCAGTGGTAGTTAAAAATAAACCTCAAGTGTCTGGGACCCTTGAGGAGGTTATTGGAAAGAGGGGGAGAAGAGTGCCTTGATTTTGTCACCTTTTCTGCAACAGGAGTTGAGAGGGCACATGAAAGCCATCCCTCAAGATTCTGTATCATCTACCTTTCCTTCTCCCTATCCCCGAGTGTCAAGCTTTGGTGTCCAGCAGTACCGACCACACCTAGAAAAGAGACAAGATCCCTGGTCTATCCAAGCCCACCTCAGACAAGCCCTCCCCTTAGCTAGCTAGCATTTGCATCAGGTTTTGGGACAGCATTGCTAGTTAGTGCTCTGAATGGAGCCAGAATCCAGGGAAGGCTCAGCTAATGTTAGCAGGTGAAACCAATGCTCTTCTCAGGCTTCCCCTCTGCTCAAATGTTCTGGAGTACCATAGCAATGTGGGGTGGAGGGGAAGCCCAGATGGTGAACTGCATTTCAGGGTCCATCACGAAACTCACACCAAGTCTAGGATGTCAACACTTAAATCAGTACTGGAAAGTCCCATCTACAGGAGCCCTCCTGGGTAGACTAGTGGGGTGGCTGGGAGGTCCCTGAACTCAACTGGGTTTCTATTTAAAAGATTTTTCTAAACCTAGTCTTGTCAAGTCCTGGGAAGAAAACCCATTATGGTGCTGGAGGCCCCCCCCCTTCAATTATGTGGAGTAGAAACACGTGATTGGGGTGGGGTGGGGTGAATATTTCTCCAATCTTTTTTATCTCTGTTTAAGGATGGGAGACAGCCACGATCCTTCAGGAAGAAAACAACATGGCAAGTGTCTTGTGGCCCCAAGTTTTGTAGGATGAAGTTGGAAATCACAGATTTTGCTGAGAACGTATAAAATAAGCCCTTTCCACTTTCACTTCAACGTCTGGAGTAGACCCATCTTCAGTTGGTGGTCATAGAGAACTGTAAACTACCAATGAGGAAGCATTGACCAGGGCCTTCCCAAGACAGGCATGCCCTTCCAACTGATAGATAACCCTGGCATCTACCCCGTTGCCTTAAGATGTATTATAACTTAAATCTTCAAGTACTTGACTGAATCCATGCCATGGGCACAGATCAGCACCCACCATGCCCTAGGCTCTCCTACCACAGCCTGGTCACTCAGGGCATTATGGGGTCTACGTAGGAGGCTGAAACCTGGGGCACCCCAGAGTGTCCGCTTTTCCTGTTTAGAAAGCAAAAAGTAAGGAGAGGAGCCTCATTTCCTGGAAGCCAGGAGAGGTGATTCTCATCCCTGAGCCAGCCTCCATGATTAGCATGCACAAGAGGGGAGTAATTATATGCTACTTTTAGAGAAGAGACACTCCCATTCTCGATGGCGCCTGATTATGTATTTCTTTGTGAGTCTGAGAGGATCGTCATCATTTGGATTTCTGTCTGAGCCTGGCGTTTGCCCTCCTCCTTCCGCTGGGAGGGAAGCACAGGCCATTCTGCTGACCTGGAAGGTGCTTTGGCTTTCTAAAGCCTTACTTCTAAAGAACAATGAGGCACCTTAGCCCGCAGCCCAGCAGCTCCACCTCTTACCCAAGCCCTCATGCATATTCATCCTGCTTCCCAGCGCTCAGCATGGAATATGCAAATTAGCCAAGCAGGAGCTGGTTGGCATTTCGATAATAGCTTTGTCTGAAAAACCCCCAGGGACACAAGCACTTCTCTCTCTCTCTCTCTCTCTCTCTCTCTCTTTCTCCTCTGCCTCTCCCCTCTGCTCTCCTCCTCTCCTCCCCTCCCTTCTCCCACACTGTCCCTGCTCTCCCTGCCCCCACATGTCCCAGAACAAGGAAATGAATCATAGGTTGCAAGAAGTGAGGAGCCAGGTGTTTGTCTTCCAGTCCAGCATATTTCCACTTCATCCTTTGTCCCCCCTTTTCCTTGATCAGAATTATTTTATTATCCTCTCCCACCAATATTGCTGGATCTGACAGTGCCCCGGAGCCCTGGGCCAGTTCTCTGCTCTCAGTTGACTCCCCTTTATGTGTGGGCACCTGTTCTAGGCCAGCTTGTCCAAGAGCGCCCAGCACTTTGTGCCTCCTCCATCTTCCAGCCTGATTGTGTCCGTGTGCTCAGGAGTCGGTCCTAAAAACCTAAGTACCTTGATCTCCAGGCAGCGGGAGGGGGTTGTCTTTCTACACAGGTCAGGGGAAAAGGCTTGGCTGGCGCTGCCACATCACTTGGACTCATCACACACAGATCTGTAAACCTCATCTGTGCAACCATCAGCAAGGGGCTCCGGCCCACTCCTCCATCCTAGACAGCTTCTTTTTCGAAGATCGACTTCCTGACTCCCCCTCCAGTCCACTCCTGCCACTCAGCAGATCTGTGGAAAGTGGCTTCCTGAGTTCCGAGGACAGAGATTCTATCTTGCCTCTTTCCTAAGGGAGACTGCTGTGGGCTGGCAGACTGAGGCTGCAGCCAACATTAGTGAGCACTTTTCTCATCCAAGGGGCTTTGTGGGGGACAGGTGAGGGCATGTTCAGGGAGGCAAACACCTCTTAGAACTTCAGGATGAAAGGTCTCCTCCCTTGGCCTGAAGGCTGGTTCTGGTCAAGCCAAGGTTTAGGGAGGCCCATGACTATCTCATGAAAGGACTGTGGGTTTGACCTTGAACTCTTAATCTTAGCTGTACTGCATATCAGATCAAATAATTTTTTGGAGTGTTGAGATTGAGCCCAGGGTCTCTCATGCTCAGCATTTGCTCCTCCGCTGAGCCACACTTCCAAACTAAAGACTAGTTTCTATATGGCTCTGGTTGGCCTGGAACTTGGTTATATAGACTAGGCTGGTCTTGAATTCACAGAACCCCCTCTCTGCCTCTGCCTCCCTAATGCTATAATTAAAGGTACATAACACCATACTTAACTAAAACCTAATTTTAATTAGATTTTTGTTGTTTTATTAGTTTTTTTTTTTTTTTTAAGGTATGTTCTCATATAGTCCAGGCTAACCTCAGACTTTCTCTAACCAAGGCTGGCCTTGAATTACTGGTCCTTCTGCCTCTGCCTCCTAAGTGCTGGGATTACAGCCATGAGCCATGTCCACCTTCAAAATAACATATTTATGTATGTGTGTGTATATATATGTGTGTGTGTGTGTGTGTGTATGTATAATATATTTTTAATTACATAATTTCTTTTAGCCTTAACATTTATATTTTAAAAATGAGACTACTGGTAGTCATATTTCTAGTAGAATTTTCAGTGTTGTTTTGAAGAATCTTTAGTGTCCAGAATGTCCTCGAAGTGCTCCATAAGTGGCTTTTACTAGTAAATTTTGAGGAACACAGTGACAGGGCTGGACCCTGTGGCCTCTCTAGCTTTGGATGGT